ACAATTCAGAAGATTCCGTTGTAAAATCGTGGATGTAACAATTATCATAATCGTGGATGTAAAAAAATTTTATAAAAAAAAAAACAATTATCATAATTTGTTATAGAATAATAATAAAAATACAATGTTAAAAAAAAATACCAAGTTGATTACTCTATGACAAGGAACCCGAATATGGTGATGATCTCGGTCGTGAAGTATTTGAGGTTGAACTTCAGTTTGAAGTTCAATGTCAGCCAACTGCTGCCCGTATTATTATGTGTGAGAGCTACAGTTTTCTCAAAGGAAAGGTAAAAGTTTTTTTGATTGATCATATTTCTGATTACATATTTTGTTTTAGTTTAAACTTGATTTTTACACTAAAAGAGATAATTATATTTGTCATTTAAAGAGAGAAAATCTTAGGGACACTACTAACAATTCAAACAGAATCTTAATCATACAAATATCTATTTTTCAATTTATATCAGGGTGTGAGATCAAAATTCAAAAAAAATAAAAAGATTATTTTTAGTTTATACCGACAATATCTACTTTTGGGATTTTTTCTCCCACGTATTGTTAAGTAATGTAAATGATTTAATTGAGATTACTTCAAAGGTGGATGGCTCCATGGCGAAGTTGAGAGAAGAACGAATGACTGCTAGGTTTTCGAGAGGCAATAAAACCCTAATTTTATTTTTATTCAACTCTTGATTTTTCTATTACTTTTTTTCTTTAATTATTCAAAAACAGTCCTATTTTAATCATCATTTGGGTTTGGTCCTTTGGGTTTAGAAACTTTGGGTTCATTCACTTCTTTTGTAGCTTGTACGAATTCTATCATTTGCTTCATTAGCAAAGCTTATGAATATATGCTTATGCTAATCAATCTCTCAAGTCAAAGTTGGACTCCTTTGCTTTTTCGATCGGGAAAAGAAAGAACCACAAAGAAGGGATTGGTCTTATTACAAAGAGAAAAGGGTTGGAAAGTGCGAACACATAATGGCACTTGCAGTTCAAAAGTTGAACTTTTTTGTTTAGTTATATTTTTAAAATATAAACCTTTTT